GAGAGAGAGAGAGAGAGAGAGAGAGAGAGAGAGAGAGAGAGAGAGAGAGAGAGAGGGGGGCAAAAGGTCAAGAAGTCTATGCTACAAATTGAAAGACTAGGGAATACCAGGTGAGACCTGCTCAGCACATATCCCTACATGACATGTCTCCTAACAGTAATTAGACCTACGGTGAAGAAAAGGCAGGTAACGAGGAAGCGGTGTGGATATCGTAAATGTGACAGAGCAGACAGAGCACCGGATGGTCGCGATGGTGTGTGTGGGGCATGTACTACGAGAAACATCAGCTTAGGAGAACAATTGTGGCGGCAGGCTGCCAGCAAAGAAAACAGCAATTTGCTGTAGAGAAAGAAGAGAACAAGTACAAAGGAATGCTGGCAAAAGAAATGAACAGCAAAGAAATACGAGCTTAACACTTAACCAAACCCCTCCATTCTGCCCAGGTGAACATAACTTCTCCCAAAGCCCTTAATAGCGCAATGCCCCTCCCCCCCTCCCCCTCCCTCTCCCCCTCCCTCTCCCCCTCCCCCTCCCTGCCCATCAGCATCACAAACCCAAACCCTTTGCTTGATCAATTATCAGATACTTCACCGCCATTTTCTGACCGTTGAACGCCATCGTCCGCGCCATTCCGTCCTGCTTAAGATGCAACACAAGTCACAGTCTCAGGCCGCCCTCGCCCAAATCTTTTAGAGTAGGAGCACCCATCAACACACCGACTAGTTAAGACAAAGTGACAAAATGATGAATCACCACATCTTTCCAAAGCTCAACCACAGAACCTACCCACCCTTCATAGCTTTCTTCACTAATCCTATCCCCACCCCATCATGCTCAAAAGTCATTCAAATAATCAAATTCACTTTGCTCACCACAAAACTCTCTCTCTCTCTCTCTCTCTCTCTCTCTCTCTCTCTCTCTCTCTCTCTCTCTCTCTCTCTTTTGCACACACACATATGGAGGAAAATAAAGGGAAGAACAGAAAGTTTGCTTCTCTGCCTTCATGACAGGCTATATATATATTATCATATATGTTGCTCGTCGGAGGTTCACCACCCATTATATAACTTTACAAATTAAAAAAGAACGGTATGAAGGGGATCGGTTCCGAAGACGCACGCTTTTAACAACAACAGATGCGGACAGAAATCATGACCTTAACAGTCTAATAACAGATTACCAATACAATGTTCAAATCTCAAAAACAGAAGGGACAACATCCGCTACCCTCTGGATTATAATCCACACCAGATCCTGCTGGAGAAAGCCTACAAAATTCAGAAAAGATTTTGCAATCTGGCACGAGACTGGTAGTCTTTCCTTCCCTTCCTGGGGTTGGAGCAATGCACACAACGGCGGAACGCGGTCTCTATCAGGACAAGATGTACACACAAGTGGGGCATTACTGCATGGTTGGACTGAAAAACAAGCTGAAAAAAGGAAAAGGCAGAAGAAAGATCCGCTTGTCAGTTTCTCTCTGTGTGGTCAAACGGAGCCGTCTTCGCGTAAGGTACAAGAAACTTAATGATGAATCAGAGAACCCGCAGCTTAAGAGCTTATATAAGTTAGGATCTTCTCGATCTAATCTTCCGAGGCTTCCACAACATAAATGCTACATAGGCCTACGAATGCTAAACATAGAAAGAAATCAAAGAGAAAAAAAAAAAAAGAAAAAAAAAAAACTTCAAAACGCGATGAACAACGTTACAAACAGCCGGAATGTCTTAAACAAAACAAAAAAAAAAAACAGCCGGAATGTACAGCTAGCAGAGACTACAGCCGAATAATAGCCAAGGGGCATGCCCTCGTATTTGGAGCGACGACCAGCAACGATCTTGCTTGCCGGAGACAACTGTCGCCATACTCGCACTAGGACTTGCCTGAATGTATCTAACTGGAATATCGGTCCGACCTGGATGAAACTTCACTGCAATCATGTCCTAAGCTCAGTAGAAAAATTCCTAGCGTCAGTACGCCCTGTTGGCAACAACACTTTGTGCACACTCCTCCCGACCCAAGTGTCTACACGTCATTACACCATCTGCATTTCATCTGCTGCCTACACACTAAACCCAACCAGCAATGCAGTCTTCATAATAGTCTGCCATTAACATTGTGTTGAAAATGCCCTGGCTAGCAGCATTGCCCCCTCTGCTCACTCTCTTCGATGCTGACCGAGGTAAAACCGTGCCGATTCCTGGGCCAGGTGTTTGAATCCTGGGACAGGCAACGAGTAGACTTGGTGTCGACCTGGTACAGGCAGGAAGCCAAGGTGGAGCTGCCCACACCGCTGCACACCTTAAGAAGCACAGGGCATCATTCGGTGCAGAAGAAGATAATACTACCTAACCTAACTACGAAAGCTTAAACACATTACTCCCCAAACCACTCTATACAAGTTTC